CTCTAAATCCTCCTTAGGTGTGACTGTGTGAGTGAGTGGTTGTTCATCCTGTTTGTCTCTGTGTTGCCCTGCGATGGACTGGAGACCTGTCCAGGGTGGACCCCCGCCTCTCAGCTGGAGATAGGCACCAGCACCCCTCGCAACCCCACTAGGGATTAAGCGTGTTAGAAGATGGATGGAAATTATTATATGCACAGCAGTAAACATGTAGCTCAAGTGTGTGCACAGCCTTCCAGAGGAAACAAGGCTTCATTTCACATATTTAACATTCATATATAAAACTGTATTAAAGCAGAAAGTTTCACGTAGCTATGAACTAATAATAAAGCAGTTCAAAGTTGCCTGTCTAGCAGAACTACAACCAGTTTTTATTCCTAGTTTCTAATCCAAGAGAGCACAGCAATGTTTTTAATTTGGAGTATGATCGTAGAGGTCTCCCTTCATCTCCTGGTTTTTTGACAGTCATGCTGTTCTGTTTAAATGTAGACGGGCTAAAGGAATAGCTGCTCAGCAAAGGCTCTGCCCCTCGTTGGGCTGTTAGCAGATAAGGCCTTCCTGGTTGGCCAGTTCCTTCTTATTCATGCAAGAAAAAAGAATGTAGATTCATTGTGCATGCAATTAGTCACATTGTTATTGTCAAATTACATATTTTAACACATTATAAATTGTGCAAAGATATTTTTTCTTAAATAGACCAAAGTATAAATCAGTAAACGTAACATAAACATAAATCAGTTTCCTTTAAATGTGACGAAGAAAATCTTCTTTTTATTTATTAGATTCATGACAACCTAACCAAAGCTGGTTCACATGGCAAGAGTTTCAAATTGTCAGCTAAATGTTTTTAACAACTAATGATTCCTCAGACACTAAGATTGAAATGTATTGGTTGTAAAATGTTTTATCTCCAGCCACACAATGAGCACAGCAAACCCACACCAGCCGTATTTAATGCCCTCTAAATGCATCGAGCATCAAGGGTGTAAGCTACCGATTTACCGCACACTGGTTGCCTGTCTTTTGCTTTTCCAACCAAACCCCAAGAACCAGTCTTTTTCTCAAAGTTACAGATCTGACTTGCTGACTTAATGTCTGACTTACTATAATTTGGGCTGAATTTAAAGCAAAAAAAAGTTAAGATTACTACTACTAGTGTAGAACAGTTTTCGTTAAATCAACCTTTTTTGATGCTGACATTTTGCTCCATCTTAAATCTAAACTTACCAGAACAAGATTCAGTGGAACTAAAAATAAAATAATTAAAGTGAATGCATTACAGTCTGTAGTAGGAAGAACTAAATGTTCCAACAGAAAGTTAGGTTAATTCAGTGTCCAGCTGCATTTCTTTCATATTAGTGTTGAGTTAATAAGAGCTGGGACTTAATTCCCCTGGACGGTTGTTCTCTGCAAGGTCCTCCAGATCTGCTGACTACTGGATTATGTAATTTTGTGAGGGAGGTGGGTTTATGTTGGGGCATGTGTAAAAAACAAATAAGTTTCATTCAGTTGAATCTTTTTTTTCATGCTGTTTCTTAAAGCCTCAGCCCACTTACATGCATATGGACAAAACAGGACAATGTATGATTTATCAGACGATATTGTCCCAAAAGTTAAAAAAATGTCTATTTAAAAAAAATTCCTGTCTTAAAATCTTTGGGGTTTTTTCCGTTATCTTCTGCAGGCCAGTTAGTTCTACGTCAGCCTGAACATCTAAATTCGGCCAATCATATATCAACGGTCATCTGTCAATTAAATTGTTTCAGTCATAGCATCTTGATTCATATGTTGCAGCTAATATACGCAACGGTTGAAACCAGAATCCTTTCCTTTCCCATTGAGTTGCGTCCCAGTGTTCACGGGGATGGACGTCTGTGTCTTCGGCAGGCGTAGAGCTAACAGAACTGGCAGCGTTGCGAGGCAAGGGCTCAAACATGTACGGCTGGAAGCCTTCTACACCAAACCAAGCTTCTGCCGCCCTGGCGTCCTCTTCCACAACATCTTCGTCCCCGCTTTCCTCCTCTAAATAAAAAATGGATGACGGAGGAGACTCATCCACGACCTCCGACACTAAACTCTCCTCCTCTTGCATGTTTCCGCTGTCCATAGCGTTCCTTGACAGCGTCGTTTCTAAGTCACCAATTTAGTGCTACTTGGTCCCAATGGAATTTCCCATTGGGAACCTGCTAGCACTAAGTTGCTAACTGGTTAGCAAGATGCTTCCGACAAACCGGCCACAATCAAATAGCTTTCGAACCTTCTGCCACAACAATCCCGCCCCCTTGATAATCGACCAATGACATTCACTTTATTCACTCGTGTAAAGTCGGGCACCACTCGGGAGAATTCAAAAATGGAACAGCTGTTATCCTACGACTTTAACCCTTCAGAAGAGTCAAAGTGATTTGACTGTAAAACTATTTTCTTATTAGCAATGTGACTATTGCTAATTATTACCTGCAGTCAGTGAGCTACTGATACAACTTTAGTATACTTCACCATTTAAAAATACTTCTGTCTCAGTGTTTTTGCATTAAATGTTTTTTTTCCAGATGAGTCTGTGGCAGAGCAGTGCTCCCATCATTTCTACAGTTTTCTTTCAAAAAAGAAAGGATCAGTTTTTTACTGCTGCTGCTGCTGCTTGTTCAGAATAACAAACTGCTGCAAAGTAAATGGCTTAGTGACTTTCAGATGGAAATCTGATAATATGATCTTCATTTAGAGTTTTTAAATTAAGCCAAACTATCTTTGAATTTATATTTAAATTAAAATGTCTAAAAAAAAATTAACCAGTTTGTGACAAAATCTGATCTATCAGATCAAAAACCTATAGGTGGCGCAATAAACACAATTTCAGTCAAGCTGGTACTTATCATTAGCAGGGGTTTTATCCTACAGCATGGAAAGTGTTACTTAATTTAGGTTTGTTAAAAAAAATGAATAAAGTCTCATTTGATAGGAAGAGATCGAAAAAAGTTCTGATCTGCTGATTAATATTTTAGTAATAAAAGGACTGCTCAGACGTAGGATCCATCTGCAGTAGAGATGTCGCTTGATGTGACACATCTTCATGAATTCGGTTTAAAACACAGAATTCTTTACTTTTTCCGGAGAACCATGACATGATTTAAAGGATTCAGAAATGTCCATTAAAATAAGATAAAGATGAAATTGTTATTCTGTTTGTTCTCCAGAGAGATTAATATTGTTGGATTTTTGTTTTAAAACCTTTCCAAGGAATGTTATGAATGAGTCAACACCAGAAGGGGGATTGATTATATCAGCATTAAAGAGTCGAGCATGTTATTTGTATTGACATTTTATTTTCTCATATGTATTTAGGAGCCTTATTAGAGTTGTGTTATTCTATATACTTTTTTCTGCCATGAAAAAAGATCCAGATTTTAAATGTTGTAGTTTGCAGCTACTGAATACACAGTTTCACTGCCCTTCATTGTTTTTTTTTTCCTTTTTGTTACCCTCCTCAAAGGTATTTACTCTGTAGGTACAGATGCAATCACACCCAGCAGCTGCCAGTGTTGTATCTCTGAATTGGTGGAATTATCTAGTGCTCTGCTCAGGCTGAGCTAAATCTGCTGCTTGCTGTGTCCTTCTAAAAGCACCTTCTGAGATTTTCACCTTAAATGATCGAAATGATTCTGCAAACTGACACTTTAGCTGCAATTTTCTAAGCAACACTTCATTGCATGTGAGGCGGTTTAGCTGTAAATCTTTCACAGCTGTGTGTATTTTTATCTAACGGGTGGTAGATCAATAGGAAGTGAATGATTATAAATACTTGTTAACTAGATTGATTGAGGAATTTCAGCTGCACCCTTTCATAGCTAATGTTATGACTGAAGTTTTTTGTATTAATTAAGCATTAAATTAAATGGTACAGACAGTCCACAGCCTTCAGCGCAGGTCAAAGCAGTAGTTTAAAAATTAGATAAATACTGAGAAATATCATTTGCATTCTGGGCTCTCTGCATTCAATAAAAAGTATGCAACATCTACATGGAGTTATTTTTACAAGAATGAGCTTAAAGTCAATAAAAAAAGATGCACAGTAGGCAAATATACAGATTGATTTTTATTGCAGTTGTCTCTGTGAAATAAAATAAGCAGCTTAGCTTGTTTAATTGGAAAAGATGGAAACTATATTTCATTTTATTTATTTTAAGCAATATATTCATACCCTCATATTTTAATTCATCTTACTGTCATCATTGTGTTATTATATAGCATAGAAATGGTAACATGTGAAAAGCACCAGTGAGTAAATGAGTCATTGTTCCTCAGAGTGTCTACCACCTCCACTGATTGGCCTTTCTGCTGAAGTCATTGTGAAGCAGAACAGAAGCAAACAGAGAAAAATTGCAGAACAGCTGCTGCAGACACTTTACAGCGTCCCATGGCTCGTCTCTGCGGTTTGTTTGACTGTGCAGCGCTATCAGCCAGCAGCCCGGTTAACACTATTCCACACAGTCAGACGTGTTTCATGTATTAACAACGTTCCTCTAATTGTGTCCTCCCATGGAGCTAATTAATTTACCATTGTGCTGTGATCCTATAACATTTCCAGTCTCTGGAAGTCATTTTCTAAAGCAGGCGGGAGAGAATTTCATAAATGGCTGCTTGTGCATTTTAATGCACAGTGGAGAGTAATAGCTCATGGTGATGAGTGTGTGTTCACCACTGAGATGAGACTGTCATTTTCTTGCATGTCAGACAACTAAAAAGAAGATTTCTTCCCCATGTCTTCGGTAAATCCCCAGCTGTCAGCAACAGAAAAAGAAAGTAGAGCATGGTTCGGGCGTCAGCCAAAACAGAAAGCTTATTTGGAATAAAAGTATTTCTGTGTCTGTAGATGTGCAGACATCTAAAATAATAATTTGGTCATCTTTATCTTGACCTGAAATACCACATAGATTTTAGTCTTTAAGTTAATGTTCAATGTTTTGGTGAATCCTAATGTTTTTTTATTGTCTCTACTCCCACAGGGGTTTAACTTGAAGGTGGTGCAGGTGGGAGCTGACGGTGTGCGACGAGTTGACTGGCATGACTATGAAGCAATAAGGAGAGATGCTGCTCGCATCGGTACGTTGCCACTTTGCTTCATCTGTTCTGGCCCCACAGAAATTCACTCTTCTATTTTTTTTTTCCTTCTTCGTCTCTTAATTCCCTCCAAGTAGATTTTCTCCCACAGAACCAGCACAAATCAATATGGCTCCTAGCGCCCTGAGTTCAGAATTAAACACACTTAATCTTCTACAATAAGCATTGATTCTTCCCCCGGCGTTGAGTTGGAAACAAGTGTAAAGGATTTAATTGGCTTTTGTGTAGTTTTGGGAGAAACTTAGAGTGGAAAATGACCTGGGTTTGTGGAAGTCTGGGACTGAAAGTTTTTGCAGTGTTACTTCCAACAAATCAATACACTGGAATTTTTTATAAACTTTACACAGTGATGGACAGTTCTGGTCCTTGAGGGCAAGGTTTTTTTTTTTTTTTAAGTGTGTCATCACCTCCAAAGCTAGGTGGATATCTGAAGAGATAATAAAAAAGCAGGGACACATACTTATAAATCTCAAAATATCCAGACATGTCTAGAAATGTGCTGCTTAAGGTGGCTGCATATTGGTTTATCTCTCCTAGCTTATGTCTAATAATTCGTTTTTTGAATTTGAATTCTTCCATTTTTGGATCAGATTTTCTTTTTCTGGTGTTTTTTGCCTCTGTCGATGAATGCTGAGAAACTGGAGGCATTTTCACTGACATTTTGTCCTATTTGGATACTTGTTATAATGCGTAACCAAGGCAACCGTAGGAAGTTGATTTTTTTTTTTTTTTTTACACCCGGGAGCAGCTCTTTAACATCTCTAAAGCTGAAATAATACTTCAACTTCTGCAATTACCAGCTGAGTGTAAAAGGAGGTGCTGGGGATGCTGAGTAGGAGCAAGGAGAAGAGCGAGGAAGAAGAGCGAGGAAGAAATTTAAACCATCTCTTCCATCATCATCATGGGCAATTTTCTTTAGGAAATTAGTTAGAACTTTAAGGCTGAGCAAGAACCCAGCTAAAATACCGGCAATGCAGCATTATGCCTTTTACAGAAACATGGCTGCAGGATCACATGTCAGACTCCAGCGTCTCTGCCAGGATCTCTGACCAGAAGAGCAGACTGAGATTTTAAAAAGACTGACACTTCAAAGGACTTGAGTTGGCAGTGTTAGCATCAACAGACGGTGTCATCCAGGACATGTTATTGTGGAGAATAATCACTGCAGCGCAGATATTGAACTGTTGGCTTGTTTTTTGTTTTTGTTTTTTTTTTCATATTATGCGCCCAGAGAGTTCAGCAGTCTTCCACCTTCTGCTATTGCTGACACTGCATGTTAGGTAATTAGTTCCGTTCTTTCTCAGCTACAGACAAAACAGCCAAATACAATTGTGGCAACAACTGGTGATTTTTGACGTCTCACTCTCTGCTACTCTGCCAATGTTCCAGCAGTTTTGTCAGCTGCTGCAAAAGCAAAACAAAAACAAAACTTTGGACTTGCTTTATGCAAATGTAAAGGACTCCTACATCTCTGAAGGAAGGTCTCCTCTTGGGAAAACAATTCACAATCTTATTTTTCTCTGCTAACAGTGTAAGCCACTTTATAAGAAACACCCTGCATTAAAAAGAACAGCAATAAGATGGTCACATAAAGCTGAATAAGCCCTGCCAGGTTGTTTTGAGGCTTCAGGCTGGATGCTAATGTCAGCCACATGGAGAGGACATCAGTGCAATGACTGAGTGTGAGACTGACTACTAACTTCTGTGTAGATAACAGCATCCCTACCAGAACAGTGAAAGGATTCCCAAATAATAAACCATGGATCACAGGTGATATAAAGAAAATGTTCAACAAGAAAAACCAACCTCTAAGAAGAGAAACAGGAAATTAGTGAGCAGTATGCAGAAGCAACTTAAGATCAAGATAAGTGAAAGCAAGGATGCCTACAGGAAAAGGCTGGAAAACAAGCTCCAGTAGAACAATATCAGAGATGAAGAAGATCCCAGGCTTGAAGCAGAAGGATGATCAGACAGATGGAAGTCTGGACAGAGCCAAAGAACTGAATCCATTCTTCAGCAGGTTCAGTTCAGCATCTTTCTCTCCTGCCCACAGTCACATGGACATCCTGCCCTCCTCTGACATTCACTCTCCTGCTTCTATTATCAGCCAGACCAGCAGGTGATGGTGCTGCTCCCTCCACTTTCCACCTGTCTGTCTCTAGAAGTCAGTAAAGAGGCAACTGGAGAGACTGGATGGTAATCAGTCAGCAGGTCCTGATGGTGTCAGAGTCCTGAAGGCCTGAGCAGAGCAGCTCTGTGGGATTATACAGCACCTCTTCCCCCTTAGTCTGACCCTGGAGACAGCTCCAGGGATGTTGAAGACCTCCTGCCTTGTTCCAGGACCAAAGGAGACTCAACGAGCAGTCCTCAGTGACTATAGAGCTCCTGCCTTGATCCAGGACCAAAGAAGACTCAACCAGCAGTCCTCAGTGACTATAGACCTTCTGCCTTGTTCCAGGACCAAAGAAGACTCAACCAGCAGTCCTCAGTGACTATAGACCTGCTGCCTTGATCCAGGACCAAAGAAGACTCAGCCAGCAGTCCTCAGTGACTATAGACCTCCTGCCTTGATCCAGGACCACAGAAGACTCAGCCAGCAGTCCTCAGTGACTATAGACCTCCTGCCTTGATCCAGGACCACAGAAGACTCAGCCAGCAGTCCTCAGTGACTATAGACCTCCTGCCTTGATCCAGGACCACAGAAGACTCAG